AAGAAAGTAGACTTTCATCATTTTGATAGAAGTTGCCAAATTGCCCTGAGACAAGCTTTGCCACTTTACTTTCCCCTTGATGTCAATCAGAGCACTTGTCTCTCTGTACTCTTGCCAGAACTAGAGTCCTTCCAACTTTTTACCACCTCCAAAATACAAAAATCAAGAAACAAAAACAGACAAACCCAAAACAACTAAGGGTATCTTATTTAAATAAATTAAAATTTAACCTCATAAATTGCAGTTCTTCATGTTTGAGTATGGTTGTTATGCTTATTAGCCATTTATATATACTTTTTTCTTAACTATCAGTTCATATCCTTTGTCAGATTTTTCATTTGGTTTATTTCTAATAATTTGTAAGAATTCTGTTTATTAAAAAATTCTCTTTATTACATGTGTTCCCAGTATTTTTCCTCATTTTGATCTTTTTTATGACCTTAAATATTTTTTGCCTGCAGAATTTTAATATTTCTAAAAAGTCAAATTTATCACATTTTCCCTTTAGGATTTTCAGGTTTTGTGCCATTCTTAGAAAGATCTTCTCTATTCCAAGATATCTAGATAGCTCTTTCCATATATGTATATGTATACACTCATTTTTTATTCTAACATTTTTATGATTTTATTTTTAAATTTTGAAATCTTTAATCCATCTGGAATTCATTTTGATATTAGGAGTGAGGTGAAGAATCTAACCTTTTTTCCTTTCCTCCCCCAGGGTGGGGAGCCAAATGTGCTAAGACCATTTGCTAAAAAATCTACTTTTCCTCATGGATTTGAAATGCTACCTTCATCATATATTCAGTTTCCATCTACATTTATATCTATTTATGGGCTGAACTGTTTTTCTTCATCTATCTTTCTTTTCTAGTTGCTTTAATCACTGTAGAGTTAGAAACATTTTCACATTTGACAAGCCTAGCTCCTTCTCTTTAATTTGCTAGCTATTGATGCATATTTTGCTTTTTAAAAGGATTTGCACTGGGAATTCCCTGGTGGTCTAGTGGTTAGGACTCCACCCTTCCACTGCTGGGGTGGGGGGGCCCAGGTTCCATCCCTGGTCAGGGAAATAAGATCCCACAAGCCATGTGGTATGGCCAAAATATAAAATAAGATACAATGATTTGCACTATGGCTGCAGGGTAAAGAGAATGGAAAAGGTGGATGTGGCTTGACCTGATGGAACTTCCTTGCAGTATTCCAGGAGAGAGATGGTAGAATAGAGAATAGAACACAGAAGTTACCATAGATTACCCCATTGTATTCCAAATTTTAGTCATTTTCCAGTATACCACCTTTCATAATTATTGATCTATCTAAATGTTACCTACACTATTATTAAGTTAATTTTTCACTACTTCAATTCATTTTAAAATTTTAAATAGTTACATTAGGTGTATCCTATGTAATATCTGTAAAAGCACAGATCAGACATAGTAGTTATAATATTTTATAGTTATAAATGAATAGATAACAATGAAAATAAACATTGTTCATCTAGCACCTAAAGTTCTTTTGTGTACAACCAGTGGTTTGAGAAACGTTGATCTGAGCAAACCATTCTGATCAGTTCTTTGAAAATCTCCACTCAGCCTGGGCTAGCTGGTAGTGTCTGCTGCCTGAGCAGGACGCTGGTTAACAGGTGGGTTCAGTTTGCAAAAATCTTCAAGATGTTCACTTATAAACACTCTTCTGTGTGATTGTAACCAATAAAAAGTTTAAAAGTAAGTTTTTAAAAGTTTTAAAAGTATCACTGTATTGTTTTGTACTAATTACCGGTAATAAAACCTATTACATATATAGGTCATGCAAAGAAACAGATTAATGAAGTGAATAACAGTTACACAAACTTAAAACACTGGTAGCAGTTCTCTTCCTTAGAATTCTGAGGTTCCTGCAAGCAAATCCATCCTCCCATACATCTCTGAAATGGGTCACAGATGATATCCTAGATAGAACTTTCAGAGGATGATAAGATGTCAGTGAAGTGATCTGTAGGGCAGAATTAGACAATGATGCCAGAGGCCAGAGCCTTAATATCCTTATCTCTTAGTCTTTATTAAAGGTAAACAGTGATAAATGGAAAATGCCATCCTAACTGCATGAAGATCAAATTAAGGAGTGAGATTGCAGGGAATCAAATATTTTGTACTGACCTGTCACAAGCACTTACTCAGAAACAAGTAAACACACACCACAGTCTTTTTATACCTTAAGGTGATTCTGGTTTTTAGACTTCTAAATACTCTGCTTTCAGAGTTTACCTTTTTTTCTGAACAGCCATAGCACTGATATTAATGAAGTTTACAAAGTCACTGATATTAAAATCTCACTGCCAAACAGAAGCTGCTGCTTCCCAGCATGGAAATTCAAATAGCTTGTATCTTTTGTCCTTCAAAAACAGTATAAAATAATCTAGTTTCCTTCTGTTGGTAGCCATGGAAACTAAAGTCCAATATTTCGGTGACAGAATAATGCTAAAGACTACAGCATTCAAGGGCATCTATGGATTTGCTACACATCAATAAACAATTAAAATAGCAACTTCAAAATTCAACCTGTAGATTTTCAATTATAAGTCCCCCTGGTTTCATAATTATTGGGGGGGGGCAATTGAATTGGAGAAAATGCAGATGGTTGCTTGTCAGAGGAAGATCTGGAGTCTTGTTTTCTCAAGGACATGTTCATTTCCTATTTCCTTTCTGTTGTTCTCCTTCCAGTGGTGCCTGCCCTTTGAGGTGGATATTCTTCCTACCTCTAATCATCCCAAAGCTGGAAGCCTTACTATGTAATTCCTGACTTTTAAAAGGGCTTCTCTCTCCAGTCAAAAGCCCCTAAGAGAACTGGCCTGAGAGGGTGCCCTCATTCTTAACATACACATGTAGGCTGATCTATTTGCATAATCTGCTTTCTGGAAATCTTACGGAGTCTTATGCCAATTAAATTTCATCCAGAGTTTCTCAAAATCTAATTTTTCAGTATTTCCAGCTTCTCTCACTGTTCCCCCAGTCAAGTGATAGAGCCCTTTCTGTCAGTACAATTTGTTCGAAGGACCTTCGAGAGAGGGATTAGCGCAGGGATTAGCGCGAGGTTTCTGATTACAATTTCAGGGAGCTCAGTGCAGGGAGATGTCCTTCTACCAACCAAATCTCAAATGAACATTCAGGACACAGCTGAGAAGCAGAGGACCTGCCAGCACAGGCCTGCTCAGGCTATTTAAAGCTGCTCTCCATAAAAAAGAATGAAATAATGCCATTTGCAGCAACATGGATGGACCTAGAGATTGTCATACTGAGTGAAGTTAGACAGAGAAGGACAAATATCATATGATATCACTTATGTGTGGAATCTAAAAAAAGGGTACGGGGACTTCCCTGGTGGCGCAGTGGTTAAGAATCTGCCTGCCAATGCAGGGGACACAGGTTTGATTCCTGGCCCGGGAAGATTCCACATGCCACAGAGCACCTAAGTCCGTGCGCCACAACTACTGAAGCCCGTGCACCTAGAGCCCATGCTCCGCAACAAGAGAAGCCACCGCAATGAGAAGCCTGCGCACCGCAACAAAGAGTAGCCCCAGCTCGCCTCAACTAGAGAAAGCCCAAGTGCAGCAATGAAGACCCAACACAGCCAAACATAAAAAAATTAAATAAAAATTAAAAATAAATTAAAAATATAAAAAAAGGGTACAAATGAACTTATCTACAAAACAGAAATAGAGTTACAGATGTAGAAAACAAACTTATTGTTACCAGGGGGTAAGGGTGGGGAGGAATAAATTAGAAAATTGGGATTGACATATGCACACTACTATATATAAAATAGATAACTAATAAGGACCTACTATACAGCACAGGGAACTCTGCTCAATACACTGTAATGGCCTGTATGGGAAAAGAATCTAAAAAAGAGGGAATATATGTATATGTATAACTGATTCACTTTGTTGTACACCTGAAACTAACACAACATTGTAAATCAACTATACTCCAATAAATGTTTTTTTTAATTAAAAATAAATAAATAAATAAAGCTGCTCCCTGGCGAAGCAAGGGAAGGACAGGGGTGAGGGGCCAGCCATTCAGAGGGTGACAGAGGGTGCTGGCAGCAGGCAGGCAGAAGACAAAAATAATGAGAGGAAGGAGTCCACTTGGGCAAAGGATTCCTTTTTCTTTTCCACCACAAATTGACAAGCTTGCATCCATCAGCCTAGCTTATCATAAGTGAGCTTACACATACTTTGGTGGGTGGTACACATTTTTTTTTCTCACCTTTCATGTTTACAATCTGGTGGAGATGAAAAGACTTTTTTAAAAAAATGTGCTAATCTTAGCTGTTATTTTAGATGGTTCAAATGTTCCTTCCATACCCAGTTAATGTTATAAAACAGGAAACTCTGGTTTTGGAGAGGCAAAGGTATGATTAAGATGTGATGCACTTTTTGGAAGCATATTTAAATCTTTGTATTATTGGGGGACATACGTTCCTAATCACATTGTCACAGTTTTACAGTTTTACAGTTTGGTAAAATTCTTATACTTGATTCAGCATAAGGCTTTTTTCCCTTCAAAAAAACTCACTGAGGGCTTCCCTGGTGGTGCAGTGGTTAAGAATCCGCCCGCCAATGCAGGGGATACAGGTTTAAGCCCTGGTCCGGGAAGATCCCACATGCCGCAGAGCACCTAAGCCCATGCACCACAACTACTGAGCCTGCGCTCTAGACCCCGCGAGCCACAACTACTGAGCCTGCATGCCACAACTACCGAGGCCCACGTGCCTAGAGCCCATGCTCCACAACAAGAGAATACAACACAATGAGAAGCCTGCGAACCGCAACGAAGAGTAGCCCCCGCTCGCCGCAATTAGAGAAAAACCCCCATGCAACAATGAAGACCCAACACAGCCAAAAATAAATAAAAAATAAATGATAAAAAAACTCATTGAACGGAAGCCTATTCTCTTAGGTCGGCTTCTTCCAGAAGTAGAATCTGAGTCAAGGGTTCAGGTGCAAGAGATTTATTAAGGAAACGCTCCCAGGAGACACCAGTGAGTGGGAGAAGGACAGGGGAAGGAAGGAGCCAGGCAAGAGTGAGATTTCATGCGAAGCCCCAGCCTTGGCCTGATCAGGAGGAGAGCTCTGGAACTTGAATCATGTCTCAGAGCATGTCCTTCCTAGAGACAAGGAAGCTGGACTTTCAGACTCCCAAACCAGTTGGTCACCAGCCTTAGGTCAAAGGGTGGGGTAGGAGATGGGGTGGCCATGGAGGCAATAAAACCCCCAGACACTGCTGGCTCTCCATTTGGGCTGAACCGGCTCCAGGACCAGATCACAGATGCCAGCCTTTGCCTGCAAAGCACTTAGCTGGGGGTTGGGCACACAGAGCTGGCAAGAGACCTGAGGGGTTCTGGGTGATGCACCAACAGTATCAGCCACAGGGCTACCCCCCATATGCTTGCTCTCACCACCAGGCAACAGTTATGGGTCTTTCATCAAGTTCTGCTGCAAGAGGAAATGAATAATTTCTTTTGAAAGTCCTGGGGTCAGCTTTTCATCCTCCAGAGACGCACTTCCTTCTCTGGTTGGGTAAAAGTGGGCGTCCCTGGAATGCTTCTGTAAGATGGAGCAGCCGTCCCGGTTGAAGATGACCCGTGCCATTTGAAAACTGCGGAGGGTGTACTTTTGGTCCTCCGTGCCCTTCAGTTCATTGATTTTCTGAGACAGGCACTGGTAGACAGATGTGGAGAGTGAATTTCCAGAGGCTGGCTGTGGATGGCCAAATACTTCATAGAATGTGTCCAGAGATTTCCGAAGTCCAGCATCCTCTGCCTTTGTCTCTGGTGGGCCCTTCACAGAAGGGTCAAGCCAGGAGTTCTCAGAGGTCCAGGAATCATTTTGTTCAGTATTTAAGTTACTAGTGTCTGCAAGACAAAACACATTCCAATACTCAAACACATATTTTAAAATATCAGAAAGCAAGGCAAGAGCAGATGATGTTTCTTTTCAATTTAACACACTCACTATTCCTGGGTAACTGGCAATGGACAGAATCAGCTGATTTCAGAATCTGTTCCCACTATCCTGGGATTATGCCACTTGTTTGCTCAAAGTAAGATACTTGCATGTATCAGGGGTTCTTAACCTCCGAGTCCTTATATAGAAATTCAGGGTGGCTGTGAACTAGTATGGGGGAAAAAAATCTTATCTTATTTTCACTAACCTCTACCTGAAATTAGGAATTTCCATCCATGATGAATGTAGGCAACAAACTTATTAGCAGCAGTACCTGTGATCCTGTTGCCAACAGATCACATTTTCATTTCATATTAAAGCTTGTTGAAGATGTTTTAAAATACCATTTATGCTTATCATTATGCTATAGAACAAACTGTGTCCCTCCAAAATTCATATGTTGAAGGCCTAATCCTTAATGTGACTATAATTGGAGATGGGGCTTTTAAGAGGTTATTAAGGTTAAATGAGGTCATAAGGGTATGGCCCTAATCAGGTAGGACTGAAGGCCTTACAAGAAGAGGAAGAGACCCCTCTCTCTCCTTATTGCCTCCTACCCCCTACCAGATGTGCAAAAACCAAGGAAAGGCCATGTGAGCATGTGAGGACACAATGAAAAAGTGATTTTCTGTAAGCCAGAAAGACAGTCCTAACCACAACATGACCATGGTGGCACCCTGATCTCAGACTTTCAGCCTCTGAAACTGTGAGAAAATACAATTCTTTTGTGTGAGCCATCCAGTTTACAGTACTTTGTTAGGGCAGCCCGAGCAGCCTAAGACACACTGCTCTGAAATCACCATAGTTATTAGTTCTGACAATAGATCTTATTATATGAGTCTTAATAAAAAAGCATTACAGGGCTTCCCTGGTGGCGCAGTGGTTGAGAGTCCGCCTGCCGATGCAGGGGACGTAGGTTCGTGCCCCG